CCCCCCCCACCACCACCACCTCCACGAGTGGATATCAGAATAGATTGCAACGACTCCATGTCTCGAATCCCACTGTTAGCTGAAAGTTGAGGTACATCAAGATGAAATCACAAGGGATATCATTGGGTATGCATGTGTGAAAGTAAGCTATATACCTAGAGGAGGATGAGTAGAATTGCGGATAGAGCTGGGAAAGAAGAGAGAGCAGTTGTGGTCTGAAATGAAAGAGAAGCCTCAGATGTTAGATTCCTGCTACAATGCTGTCAGGTTTAATGCTCCATATTGTGCAACAAGTGATCTCTATAGACTAAATGAAGGCACGATTGTTAGAGCAACCAGGAAAACTGAAAGACTAAAAACTAAGGGAAGTAATGCTGTAACTGTGCAAGTACAGTAGTAAACACACTGTTACTTAGCAGTGTTTGATTCTACATAACACATCTGAATTGCAAATTCAAGCAGTAGTTATCAATTTGACACTATATTTTTACAAAGAAAAGTTCAAGTATTCAGGAATTACCCAAACTATATCTGCACTACAATAAAGCACAAATGTTTCACAAGGCTATGGCCAGCTACTCGCTACACCAAAACACCTACACAACCCTGTCTATCTCTACTGCTACTTCTATGTTAGCAAGCTGCAGGCAGTGATACATACTGCTCTGAACAGGGGCCACAGCTGGAGTCGGGGACAAATCTTCAGAGGGATAAAAAGAAAATGAAATACAGCACAAGATTACAGATATATGGAAAGCCAGCTTTAAGGTTTATAGACCAGGCACACACACACTCACACATGCATGTACGTCCACACACACCACAAAAAACATGGGCAGTGCATCCTCACAAATATAACCACACGTACGTTTATGCCTGAATGGCAGATATGTTTGATAGTGTTGTTTTGGATTTGGTGCCTGGTGGAGAGCTGCACCACCAGAGGGCACTGTGGAGAAAAAAGATCCTACATAGTGTATTTAAAAAAATGTATGTACTCACTAGATGACACTATGAATATATTAGCTTGATTGTGGTGTTAATTGAAAATAATATTCCATTGTCCATTGGAGCTGATACTCAATAATCGCTATAAAGCTCCATAAAGTCTAAGGGAGTTGCAGATTTGGGTGATAATTATCTCTTGATTCATTAAAATACTGATTACAACCACTTCCACAACTAATTTCTTGCATTATGCCAAACAGTACAATACGATTCATACATATGCTATTTATAGTATTCAGATATGGTTTGAAACACAGCTACTGTTTATAATCCCAGTGCTAATTGCAATTACTTTTCTATACTGCTTTGCTTTATACTGTAGCTAGTAGCTACATAGTCATTACAGTATGTATTTCTATTCTTTAAGAATTTTGAGGATTTGTGCTTTTACACAAAATGACAAATAAAAACTGTTTGGGATTGGATTAACCTGAATTTAATAAGTGAATATTAAATTACAAATATCATTTGGTTTTGGATTAAGTTATGGGAAATGTGTCACATAGTGTTCACTATGTAGGTATTGGTCTGAAACACACTGGGTTGGTAATTTTCCAGTGTTGCATTGATTTTACATGGACTAAATTTGCAATCATTGGTATAATTGTTTCATTACCTGTGGCACACACATCGTTCAATTTTGCACATGTTGTCTATATTAGTTCTCACATTGTCTAGTGGGAATATTGTGTCTCCCTACTTGAACTCATATAAAACAATTAACACTGCTGTACACTGACACAGCCTGTCCTGCTCTGATTGCTGAATCCTGAGCTCATTGCAGTGAAGATGAAGACAACTTTTGATTACTATGTTTCTAACTAAACTTTTTCAAATATTAAGTTCAAGCCATTAGCAAACATGTTGGCGATAACAACTTGGGTGTTCAAATGCTGTGCCATGGAGCAAATAATTTAATCTCTGGAGGAACTGGTTATTTTTGTGTGACTCTGCTTTTTGTCATGTTTGCAGTCTGCTTTATCTGTGCTTCTTTGTTATCTCATGAGACCTGATGGAGGAAAATAGATATTTTTTCTCTGTCTTCCACACTCTTCCGCTATGGTTGTTAGCTGTTCTCTCTCAGTTTTTCCTGCCCCTCTTTCTCAGAGATGTATCACCCCATCCCTCTGTGTTTTTTCTGTCTCCCACTTCAGCCACTCTCTTTGCATTACAAGCCGTTCAAACAAAGACACATGGAAACACACACACACACACATCTGCTCATACTGGCTGTTTTTTTGTTCTGGTATGCCAGTGCGTAATTTGTCCAGACTATTTTAAAGCTAAACAAATGTTTATCCTAACTAAATGGTGATAAGCATTAAAAGCTTATTGAGTCACAAAGGTGAAATCTAAAAGGAACCCTTCGTAGCCTGTGCTCGGTAACTCATGCATTCATTTTATTCCCTGTCACTCCATCACTCCCCATCAGTGTCATTAAATTCACGGTGCCCCTGCTCTGTGCTATTGGCATCCATAAATCTACTTTGCTGCATTGTGACTAACATGCCCTGAGGACAGTGCTCCAAAACAGAACCATTTTATCTCCCTGCCGAGCCTCTACTCAACCATATTTACAAACAATGTTTCTAATGGCTCTCAGGCTGGACGTCCATCGTCCAATACAAAAGCCAGAGAGGAATGAATAACTTTTATTAAAACATTCAGAGATAGTGGACACATATTTTCTCATGCATTCACATCTTTTTGCCTGCCAAGTAATGGAGGGAGGAATTTTAAAGGACTGTCACAAAGTTCATATTCAGTGTTTAGTGCGTACTATCAGAGCTGAACACCTGCCAAATTCTGCTAAATCGGAATGGTGCCAGGTAATGTTGTTAAGCTACTAGCCAAATTGGCTTAATTAAATTATATGGTTCAACAAACCACACTTTTTTTTTTTTAGCAAATCATTGAGAAAAGGGTATGGCTTTACTTTATGAAAGGTACAAGTTGGTTCGTTTAAACCAGAAATGGGGTAGAATGTATAGGCTGAAAGCAACACATACAGTAAACTGAACCAATTTTTCACCAGGGTTTGTCTAATTTTTCTACGAAAACAAAACAAAAAGTATGCCATATTAGCAATTAATGTTATAACAGACAAGGATTTGCATGTAGTGTGTGAAAATTGACAAGTTAGCTGAAGTTGTTCAGTTAGCCAGGACAAGAGAGAAGATGTGACTATTTTTTAAAATCAAACTACCTGTACTGAGGTTGATCTAGACATATTTTCACGTTTTGAATGCTTTGGAACTGAAATGTGGACATACAGTTTTCATACAGAGTTATCCCATGCTATTCCTGAATTCTCACTGGTAATCACCTGTTTTGAAAGAATAATTTTTAATGGGGACCTGCACATTTGCAATTTCTAATCTATTAGAATTTACTCAGCACATCACTGTGGCAACACATCATTATCCAAACATATGTGATCAGGTGATATCAAATGGGCTGTTTTTTCCACAAATTTTTAACTACAAACATCAGACAAATCACAGTTCAGAATGGGGTCAAAGATGCTACAGCAGAGGTTTTTTTCTCCGAACTTAACAGCTCATTAATTCACTCAGTGAGACCAGCTCTGTGGCTGAAATGGATGACACCCTGAACAACAACCTGATGAACACTCATGGCCATAAAGGGGTGTGTGACAGAACATCACCATCATGTATCAACTCCATCCGAGTGCTAAAGAGATCATGGAGAGCCACTGAAAGGATATGCAGAAAAGCTGAACTGGATGTTTAGTTTCTAAAGGGCCCATTATGATAAGGCTGTATGCACTGATAGAATAGTCTTCTTCTACAGTGGAAGTTCTACAGAATTTTGCTCTATAATGGTTTAGCTCTTAAAACCTGCTCTGACTTCACACAACTAATTCATTCATACAACTAACTATTTTTAATTTTTGCCTCAAAGGTTTCAGAGTAAATGCATGTGCTTTCCGTTACAGTACAACTAGAGCTTTGAAGATTGTATCCTGAAAATTAAAACAGGCTGTTGATCCTAAAAAGAAAACAACTTGAACAATAAGATTCTCGAGCCTCCCTCTTAGGGATAAACAGACTTTAGGACAAAAAGTGACCACGACTAGTCACAACATTGCTGTTTCCTTCAGAAATGACTTTCTGATGATGGTATTCATTTGTTTAATACATACAAAAAGTGTATGTTGTCAGCTATTGATGGTATCAAGGAAGTAACACTACAAGTTTGTTGTAGCGTTGGGAAGCTGCTTTGATCTTATATGCAGTCTTTCCACATGTCATACTTCCTTTAGGTTATGTCTTCAGGGTGTGTAAATATAAATTTTCACAGTTATGCAGATGACACATCATTATACATTTCAGTAGAGCCAAAATCACAAAATGCCTTAAGTTCACTTGAATCCTGACTTTCTGCAATCAAAAACTAGATGAATAATATCATTCTACAGCTCAAAGAAAAAAGAAAAAAACGTATACTAGGCCTCAAGGCCAAAGAGATGCACTGTCCAAGAATCTTGGATCTCTGGTTCCCCAGATCAAATCAGAAGTCATGCTTTAAGTCTGTGTCTTTGAATTTAAAGTAAGTTTTAAACTGCACTTCGGCAGAGTGGCCAAAATAACATTCTTTCTGTGTGGTTTATGTGTAGACCATGTCAAGCAGACTAATGTAATTTTTCACTCAGCTTCTTTAAAAAGGTTTCTTAAAATTATTTACAGCTCTGCTGCTAGACTTCAAAACAAAACTAAAAAGAGGAAGCATAGCACTATAGTTTTAAATGAGCCACATCAGCTCCCTGTCTCTTTTAGAAATGGTCCAAGGGAAAGTCCTTTTGCTTTTATTTAAAGCTCTAAATGGTTCATGGCCTGTTTTGACAAGTGAAAACCCAGAGAGGCAGAAATATGTAACAGAGAACTGTTCATCAGATGTTAAAACATCCCAACTTTTATTTAGTGTGGGGCTAGCTCAAAAAACACTGGATCCCACAATTCCCACAACGCAATGAAAACAGTCTTTTAATTAGACCATCCATGCCTTGTAAACACCAACTTCTTTCAAAATCTTTGACACAAGTGTGTAACACGAGCCGTAAAATTTTGTGGCTTCCAAGCACAGATAATATTGACATCATCAGGGTGTTTTTCTCACTCATACAATATTATACAACTGCTTTCAAAGGCTAATTAGTACTCCCTGTAACTATGTTTCATTAAGACTCACTACGATCATTAGTATAAATATCACCCCACTTTGTATGAATTATTACATTGCAATTACCATGTCTGTAGTATGCTACTGTATAATTCAAATAAACTTAGAGGGGCTTTCATACCCAAACCAATGCAAATTATTTCTTATTCGCCATACTGCAGTGTACTGCAGGTACACTGATTTCATCTACTCACGTGCTTTAGCAGCTGTGCTGCACTCCTGTGCCAGCGGAGGTCCACAACCTGCTCGAGTGCAGGCACGGAGGTGGATGCGGTAGAGGCTCCCCTCCTCTAAGCGCTCAAGCCACCACTGGGTGGTGTCAGCCGCATTGATGTTTATCTCCTGGGAATCAACCACTTCCATTGTGGTCTCATTAACTATAGAGGAAGGAGAAAGATGTCAGGTCAGTTCACAAGGCATGAGTGACCATACAATGGATCATCACTGTTGGCTCATGTTGTAAATGGAACACAACTATAATGAGGGTCAATGGTTGAGGGAGGGGGAAGATGAAGAGATGTCATGCTAGCTCATGCTGAAAGTGAATGTAGCAGATACATGTCGTGACAGGTGAGCTGAGGAGGAATACTTTATGAAGAAAGGCGAGAGAAGATGAAAGGAGGATATAGGAGAGCTCGGGGGGTGTAAACAAGTGGCAATGGATAAAAAGAGAAGGAGGAGAAAAGGAAAAAAAAGATTAGGGTAGTGGAAATGGAGAAGGAAAAGCTGAAAAACATAGAAGAAACAAAAACACAAGATCAGGTGTAAAAAGCAGAAGGAACAAAAATAAAATAAAATAATGAAATAAAATAATTAAAAATAAGGCAGAAGCAGCAAAGGGAAATCAGAAGAGCAGCAATCACAAGCAGCATAATGTATCACTAAACTTGCATTATAGATCAAAGTACAGTATGTGTGCAGACTGTAGAAAGAAGAGAAACACACTAAAATCCACCTCCTTGATGTCATTACTGTGCCAATATTGAAATGCAGGTGGAAGCTGAATAGGTGCAAAGCCTGTTGAGCCGCTTTGGAAAATTGACGTTGTTTGCAGCACAGAAAACTGCATATTTTACATGTTTGTGAACATGATCCGAGGATTTACTAACTAATTACACAGCAGTTTCATGACTTGATTGGGTGTGCAGACTGTGCATACAGCACATCATTTTATCACTAAAGAATTAACAAAATTTTAAAAAATGCTCGAGTTACATGGCGAATCAGTTTAAGTGAAATACCTCCAACACCCACAGCCTGCATTATATGGGAATATCTGTGTAAATTCTGACATCTGATATGGGAAAAAGCAGAAAGGAGAGGGGGACAGAGTGTATTGAAGAGCTGGCCAGACTCCGTGGGTGCTGGTGGAGGCGGCAAAGGGCTGTCTCTGCCTTCACATTTTACACAAAAGACTTTAGAAATGTCAGCCAACGAGAGTGTAGGCTTCGAAAACAGAGGAAGCATAATGAAAGCGCCTCACTCACTTGTTCACCCTAACTGTTCTCAAGCATAAAGGTGGGTTTTCTGCAAAATGAAATGCTCCTGAGTGATAAACGCCAAAGAAATTTGTAGAAGAGGCACAAACAAAATTATCCTTTTGGAAAAGAACCTGCAGTCCAGGAGGATACGAGATAAGAAACACTGAGGAAACTCTAATGCAGCCTGCACTCTGCTGCAGACCATTGTGGGCTGTTCAGTGTTAAACAGTGCAACCTAGTGTCTGGTATGATAACACAAGCGACGAGTGGAAAGGGAAGAAAGGTACAGATGGTAGTGTATGTAATATGTTTTCACGTTTATTAAATAGGCATCAAACCTGTAGGCTCAAAGGTAAACTATTATCCCACATCCACCCCCTCCACAGGTTTTCCCCTCTAACCTGATCTTTTCTCACTTCCTTTTAAATATCACTGCAGCTACACTCCTGCTTATACTCTGCCCACAACATTTTACACTACAGACAAAACACTGAGCCACAGCAAAGAGAAATCTATTAATAAAAAATGAATACAGGGTCAAAAGTCTACACTGTGTAAGTCAATGAGTAATTAGACAAAGAACATTGTGAGTTCACATACTGAGGTGGTACTGCAAGAGATACCCAGTGAGGATGCCGTTTGCCTCCAGCGGTGGACCCCATACCAACAAAATGGAGTCTTTCTGGGCATTGGAGGCGGTCAGGATGGGCACTTGCTCAGGAACTATGAGAATGACAGTAATGTTATTGCATGTACTGTGACATTTTTCTCAAGCAGCTTGTTATTTATTTGTAATTTACATCAGAGTGACAGTCTGTTTTAGTGTTAAAAAAATATTTTAAGGATGTTTGTATCAAGACAATCAGTTATGTCAAAATATGTTAAAATTCCTTTCATGTCAAGTGTCTTTTCATGCTTGATATTTTTTCTTTTTTTCAAAGCTTCCTTATCTCTTCCCTATTTGTTAAACAGATGAAAAACACACTGATGTAGTATGACAGTCTTCCTGTTTTAAGCAGCTTTGTCATTTCACAAAACTCCAACACTGAGCAGCCTTTAAGCATTCACATTGTAAAACAAACCTTTGATGACTTCTTCCTTCTCTCCTGGTCTTCAGACTAAACATTGTACTCTAGCAACTTTATTTAAGATCTTCCAAATATGTCTGACATATACAAAAAATGGATACTAAATTAAAATTTCTATCTGATATGGTTTTTACACAAAAAGTTCAATTGCAAGATTTTTTTTTATTACATCTCCTTCTTCTTCCTCGTTGAAAAGTCCAGAATCTATGAAGATATTTTTAATTTCAAAAGTGGACACAGAATGTCTTTTACTTTATTGAAAAGTGCATTGGAGTTTCAAGTGCCTAGATCACACTAGACCTTGATTTCCAAATGTCACAAATCATGCTTGTAGGTACTTAAATCTTAAACTTAAGGTTAGCACAGAGATACTTTTCCTCCTACAGCAGATGAACATGTACTATTCTGCACAGTGAAGGACTAGTGAAGCAACAATAAGCACACAAACACATTTTTGAGAGGAGCGAGATTTCAATGTAAATGAAATGTGTGCTTTTCTTAAAATTCTTTTTAAGATTACTTTAAAATCTTTACCAAACTAGAGTGTACCTAGCTTGAGTATTTACAAGTGTCTATGAGGAAAACTCATATGTTGTGTGTTTGTGTCGCCTCACCTCCCTCTGGAGTGCTAAAGGTGACCGGGTCACTGTTGGGCCCATTGCCCTTCTTGTTGAAAACGTTGACAGTGAGTCTGTACTCGGAGTAAGGTTCAAGCCCCGGCACGATGGCATGAGTCCTATTTCCAGGAAAAGACATGGACTGGCGCTCATCTGAAATCTTGTTGGGATTCAACAGACTCCGTTTTCTCAACCAGTGAACCTGTGAGAGGGAAGTAATGGACAACTGTGAGGAACAAGTCTGAACAAATCACAGAGAGGAGGGAGAGAAGGAGAAAGATGGAGACCAAGAGTAAGACAGAGAAGTGAAGTAGAATATTTTGAGGAGTAGCAATTAATGCCTGGTTTCTCCTTTAATGAATCAGGTACACACAAATACACAATCACATATGAACTGTCAATCTGAGATGTGGATGTTTTTACCAATCACCTCAAGTGATAAAATAGCTACTTCACAGAACCATGTTGTCATTGTCAACCACTGTGCCGCCTACAAACTTTTAATGACAACACCTATACAGGTGACAGTACAGGAAGACAAAATGTGAGTAGTAAAGTACTTAACTAAATTAAAGTTTTTTAATTACAATACAGACATAGACATTATTTTTGTATTACTGAATAAACAAAATAAAGATTAAAAGTCATACACCAGTGTGCAAATGTCTTGCTTAAATCACACGCCTACTATTACTTTTAAAACTGAGATGCCTCTATAAGCACATGCAGAAATCTCATCACTGAGTTCATCCTCTACAGGTGGTGTGCTGCTGTTTCTTAGCTAACTAATGACAAAATCATTCCACCAGAAAAGGTACACCATTCAGAAAAGGGCCATTAGTGGAGTTTGAACAGAAGAAGAGGAAACGAATCAGGTTGGAAAGATCCTACAAAACCTTAAACTTTGCAGGGAATAATCTTTCTATATGTGCTCATTACTATAATCACCATGTCCCTAGCCTAGTCAAATTTAACTGACATGTAACTTCATTTTTAGAAAACTGTGAGTTTTATGCTTTACAAGCGATGTCAGTGTTTCACTCATAATGTCCTGTTTCGACTATTAATCAGCAATACAGAGTCAGCTCTACTGGTACAACTAACAGTTGGTAACAATCATTAAACTACTAATTTCTGATTTCTGATTACAAGTCAATATTAGGTGATTACTGCACGTTATTACAATATTCCATTTCATTTTACCTCCTTGTACAGATCTTATGTAAACAAGTAAAGGGCTACAAAATCATTGCTGTTTAGAGTACCTGTGTTGCCACTGAAAGTCTTCAGTTATAAGAAGCAAGAAGAAATCATACTTCAGGACTATGGAAACTTACATCGTAGCCCCCTAGATGACCTCTCACTGTGGCAGGTGGAACCGGGGTCCAGCTAACTCTCAGAACAGTGGTGTTGAACACCTCCACAGCTACATCCCGTGGTGCTGCAGTAGGGACTGAAGAACAAATATAGGAAGGTCAGGAATGCAGACGTATTAAAAACAACAGGCCACCTTTGCAGAGACTCTTTAACACCAAGTAAAACTTTTTTAAAGAAAGAAGATTAACTGAAAAGACAGCCTAATTGGATGGTCTGAGCTGTTATGCTAAAGACAGAAAATATGTTTCTTTTTGGTTTAAGCTTTGCAGAAATGATCTGTTGCTGGCTAAGACGGTAAACAAAAACAGTGACGCTGGTAGATCAACATCAATGTGCAAAAATAAATACTCGTCTGGACACCAAATGAGGCATCTTCATTGTTAAAAGCTGCCTTTTTTTTCCTTCTTTCAGCAGGGAGAAATACAACACCAATCCGAAATAAAAATGCTTTCAATATGTTCTGTTCTACATGTTACTGTGCTGGTAGTAGGAAAGGATAGAGGCACAGCAGACACTAGAGAGAGAAGCAGCCACTGTGCCTCAGTGGGCCTAAAGTGCGTCGTGATCCGTCAAATCTCCCACAGCTTCTGAGACAGAAGTGGAAATTTGACATCCCTCTGCTCTACAAAGGTTATCTGCCACCTTCTGGATTTAGCACTTCTTTTTTTATTTTTTAGAGGGGAGGACAAGTCACTACTGCACACCTGCACAGGGTTAAAACCAAGGGAAAAAGGGAAAAAAGGAAAGAACTTAACCTGAAACATTTTCCCGCAGACAATGCCAAAAGACGACTGAAGACAGGGAGGGATACGATAACACAAAAAGTTTAAAGTAAGTGACAAGAAAAACAACAGCTACAGCTTCATGTGCTAGTTCAGCCTTAGGGTATGTTTTAATGAAACAGCAGAATTAAAGTAAGTTGCATATACATATGAATTCTGAGTTGAATGTATTAATGATATGAACGCAAACAGTAGTATCAAGTCAATAACTCACCATCTTCTCCGGAGTAACCAGTAACAAGTTTAGGTTCAGGTCCCCAGCCGTGGCTGTTCCTGCTCTGAATTTTGATCTCGTAGGGGACAAAAGTGGACGTGTTTCTCACGACAAAGGAGTGTCTTTTGACCAGATGCTCCCTCCAGACATCCTCCACCCCCAGTTTTCTGTAGCTCACCTTGTACTCGAGGCCTGGGCCATTGTGTTCGATAGGCAGCAGCGGCTGCAAGAGGACAGTGTACTGATGACTTAGAAATCTTGCAAAATGCTTCCATACTATAATGGTTTCTAGTGTCCAATCTTTTATACGGATATGCTCTTTCTCTTACCTCCCAGCTAATGTCCATTTGATGAGGAAGATGGCCTTGAATTTTGATGTTTTCTGGGTTTCTATCAGGAGCTTTGAAGAGAAGTTGAATTATCATATATTTAGTTAATATATAGTTAATTTTCTATAATTAATCTATCTAGTCTTTTATTGCTAAAATACAAATATCTATCCATATTGTTCAGCTGAAACAGACTCTTTGGAAATTGTAATACAAATATCCTCATTTCATATATACGCATGAGCCAAGGATAAGCAGCAACATGTGCCGGAGTTAACAATTGGGGACTTAAAGGGCTCCGGAGATCCAAAAATATCCACACCCCCAACTGCTCCAAACTCCTGTGGCCAAAAGCTGGCCACACACAGCAACTCTTTGCACATTTCAAAAGAAATGTTAAAACTTTGCATACTTTTACAATCAATAGATAACCACAGCAGAAAATGTTAATTAAAGGGAGCAAGTCTTACCAGCAGGCAGTGTTCTGTGTCTCTTAGTGGGCTCACTGGGGGGTCCAGGTCCAACAGCATTAACAGCATACACTCTGAACTGGTAGTTAAGGTGTCCATGTAGTGCCAGCTTGGCTGTTGCCTGGATACCAGGGACTTTCTGTAGCTCCCTCCACCTGCCAGGCTCCCATTGGCTCTCCTCATACTCCACTATAAATTCTGTGCTCATGGAGGAGACAGGAGACATACACATTTAGTTATCACCATACCAAGTGCTAATCACAACTCGTGACAGATCATGCATTAGACTCCTTGTATTTGTTTCACTTCACTGTACAGTCCACTATACACTATATTAGTTGTGTATATGTTTCCCTAAATCAATAAAGGAATATTTCAACATTCTGAGTATTGTTTTTTTAGCGAATTCTGAGAGTTAGATGAGAGGATTGATACCGATCTCATATTTGTAAGTTAAAGTTCCAGTGTGTACATTTAGGATGATCTATTGGCAGACATGGAATATCATATATAATATATATATATGTTTTCATTAGTGTGAATCACCTGAATATTAGAATTGTTTTTTATCTACACAGGAAGCTGGTCCTCTTCTCAGAGTCGCCATGTTAAACTGCAATGTTTCTAATCTACAGTAGCCAAGAATGGACAAACCAAACACTGACTCAAGGTAGGGCCTTTTGCATTTTTCGGGAGTTTCATGGCCTCCGTAGTTTCTCCTACAGGCTTGGAAGGTGAGCTGTATTCATGGGTTGCAATCTACAACTTCACCGCTAGATGCCACTAAATTCTACACACTGGTCCTTTAACTAAAATGCACTGAACAAAATTATAAACGCAACACTTTTGTTTTTGCCCCCATTCAAATATAAAGAGGGAGGAGTGGATCCTTTTGTGGTACATAGAGAAAGCTGCTTAGATCTTTGGCGTTCAGCTGTATGGTGATATTG